TTTTGTAGAACGTCTTTTCCTAAATCGCCAAATGAAATAACAAATGATCGGTGAGTAAGCTAAATGAAATAATGATTAATTGGATAATCCGCTACTAAATTGGTAAAAACTTTTGTCAATCTTATACAAATCACGTGAATCAGACTTAGCGAGAGTCATTTACTACTATCTGGCTGGAGAGGTTGTCCGACTTATCGAGTGTCCGACTTATCGAGTGTCCGACTTATCGAGTGTCCGACTTATCGAGTTTCACTATGTATTATTTTCATTCTGTCCACCCGCGTTGTCACAAGTAATCTTTAAATGTTTTTTCGCCTTTATTCAATTTCTTTATTCCATCGAACGCCATGCTCAGCGTGCCATTAGGGCCTCTGCCGATAATTTCGTCTTCATCGAGAACATAATTCGCGCACTGGCTTCATCTTGAATGCCAAATAAAGCACTTTACGCGGACTAAGATAATAAATCTTACTTACCTGTTGATCGGAATGGGACACGCGAACATTTTGTGCCCAATCGTAACTGTAATGAGCAGTCGCATTAATATTAATACTACAATAATCAGCTTTACCTCCTGTTACAGCGTAATTATCATCTACCGATTTCCTCTGTTGTTCTGCTAATTTCGTATTTTTGTTGTAAGAATTTCTTTCAAATTTAGCCTTGACTAAATGTTCTTTGTACCTTTCTAGTAAATCCCTTGCTTCTTCTTCCTTGCGAGCATTGTACTACAAGCCATTCCGAAAATGTTGGCACGTGTCACATAAATCGGTTCTTGGACTCATAATTTGATTAATTGGTGTCATAACTTACGGAATACGTCATATTTTAACAATTTCAAAGTGCTATCGATTTCAAGACCTGCAATAAAATCACGATAGACCGATTTATAACTCGTTTCAGCTGGCAAAAGTGTAAGTGATTGAGTAATTTGGTTGACATTTCTACCAGGACTTGGTAGTCTACGGTTTGCGATCAAACCCTCGCGCGTCGACCTAATACATAACTGCTTATTCATTATCAACATACTCAAATACAGATCATAATACGCAAATATACTTACTGCTAATTTAACTACGGCTTCGTATAAGAAGACAAAGTCCGGCATGTCTACCTAGTCCCTGGGCAATGTAAAACAATCCACTCACGAATATAAATATTTATACAAAGGTAACACATATGTATACCACGGTCATAATCAGAGACACCCCTGTCTTAAACGCGGCAGCACTGTATGTCTTCAGATCCGGAAAAAACTGTCTCCTGGCATTTGTTTCGGATAAGACAATGTGATTGAAAACCATGTTTCTAGCATTTTTTACATCGTTATTAAAAGCCTTTTTTGCTGAAGCACTGGGTCTTGCGCCCTCACAACAAACAAAAGCATACCGTAGAGACGCTGGATGGGATCTATATGCTTACGAAGATATTAAGGGGCAACAGTATCGACAGGAATATAACGATGTTGTTATGCGATTTATATGACTTATATATACAGTCAACTCTGTCTATACCGGCCACTTTTATACCGGTTTTGCGCTGCACCAAAAGATTATATATTAATCTCACCCCTTATAACGGCTGAATCATATACCGATCTCTCGTTATAACCGCCAAACCACTCACGCCGGTATAGACAGAGTTGACTGTAGGCCCTTTTCTTAAGTGATGTCATGCCAGTCGTGTCCCTACTTGTCGAGTTTATCTATGTAATACTCTATCGCTAAAGCAAATTCGAGACAAAAACAATTAAGGACAATATAAGGACAATATAAGAGGGAGGGCTTTCTGAGGATCTCTCTTGCCCTTTTCTTTTAATCCTCTCAATAAGTCGGACAGTCATGCCCAGCTAGCCGTGTCGACTTGTCGAGTTTACCTATGTAAATACCCTATCGCTAAAGCAAATTTGAGACAAAAAATAACAATTAAAGACGATATAAGGAAAACATAAGGACAACATAAGGGCAACATAGGGACAACATAAGGGCAACATAAGGACAACATAAGGACATGCGTTCGTTCAGTGTGAGAGAGGGCTTCTAAGTTCGGACAATCGATAAATTGTCGCCAATTCCATCACAAACCCGGTGTTAATAATAATGTCGGTCGTGTCATGGCCCTCACCCCGTGTTAATAATAATGTCGTGGCTTGGAAGACATCACCAAGAACTGCTTTTATACCAATTGAAACAGATCAGAGGCCAAACCGTACTCTGTATTTGTACAATTGATGGATAGACTGCATCTGGAGAAGAAGCCGTCAGACATCAATCCAACTGATCTACTGGCTTCAGGTGACAATACCTCGACTCTGGGCGGTGACCAATCACGACACATTCAGGCACGCATTGAAGAGGTGCGGAATGTTAGCCGAATGGCCCCTCCTACAAATAACAATGAGAAGTCAGACTTCATCAACGGAGGCATATATCACATCGGACATTTCGGCACTGGAAGAAAAGATCGGAAGGCGGTATTGGTGAAAGCAGTGTATGTTGCTGAGTTGGCTCAATGGGAGTGTAATCTTTTAAAATTCTACCCTTTTCATCTAATGAAATATATAATATGCTGAAATTAAAATAGAAACAGGTAAAAATATCCATATGGATGGTTTATTAATATTAAGGGTTTGCAACTTTGACAAGGGCATTGACCTTCCCATCAAGCCATGAAATACTTAACAACATATGAATCTTATTATTGTAGATTAGTGAATATTGGAACAGTCATATCAATATAGAGATCAACTCAATAAAATTATCAATCTTTAATATTAGAGAACTGAAAATTTTATTATGCAAGTTGCCGATCAATTACAATATCCAATCCCTGAAATTCGTATCCATTTGTGCTTGACGTTTGGACATGCCGAAACTAAAAATTAGTCCGGAAGAAGTACCATTTCGTGCCGTGTTCTTTCTAGAGACAATTCAATGGGTTGTCGGAGCCTTTGTTTACAATGAAGGATATAAAATAGAATATTCGACCATTGTGCTAGTTCCATTCGTTCTGGGATGCGCCGTGATGTCGTTGATTGATTCAGTGAGTTTTGCAGTTTCTGTCGTTGTAATTCTATTGGGACGCCATCTTTTAAAAGGTAGACTTAGCGAGATTCCCTTTTGTTAGACTCTAAACGGAACGCTGTATCATGGAGTACTCTTCTTCAGCGCCAACTTCTCCGTGGCAATGTTAATAACAGTCATATGGCAGATGCTCGGCATTTATCACGACTTTAGTGAGATATTAATTCCCATGGTCACTGTAACCATTGTGGCTGAGGTTGTTATAATACTGACTGTCGCGGATTCATGGAGGAAAGGGTAAAAATTATATTATCTGTCACATATTGGCCGTTACACGTATCGATCGTTACATCCTTTTTTTTTTTTTTTAATTCTGTCGGAAAGAGAATGGAAATTACACGATAAATCACCAAAAGGGAAATCTCATCCAAGTGAGTATAGGCCATTTTTAGAAACGTCTCTTTTGAATTATAACTTAAATTATATTTTATTTTTATCAAGAGATGGACGAATTCTCTGATCGCCTGACGGGCATGTTTTATAGCATTGTCAACTTGTATGGTCCGTTGACAGCAACCAATGTTATTATAAGTATAGCAAGAGGAGATTGGTTAACTTTTGTGTTCGACCTTGGCACATTTACACTATCAACAATAACGATGAGATTGATGACTATTGGGGTTTGTGTCTTTTTTCGTATGAACGCTCATTTTTATCTTCATATTGTAACAATACCATTGATTTTCATTAGGTCCGCCTTCAATCGAACATACTTATGAATCTATCCTATACGTTAAGCTTGATTTTAATGGTATCCCTACCGTTTCGCGTTCTTGGAGATACGATTAGTCCGGATAAATTGTGTAAGTTAGCAAATTCGAAAGCTTGCGTGAAACAATGACCATCTATATACTGATCCTATTATTTGTTTGCATAGTTTCTGTAATCATTCTTGGAATGACGGTATATTCTGGCTTTGTTGGACGACAGTGCCAGACGTTGTTTGATAAGAATCTAAAGATAAACTAGCAGATTTGTATATAACTAACGTACATAGGAGAAATGTAAGATTGTTTACAAGACATGAACTCTGTAAATAATTAAATTGGGTCGTTGAAAAGTCTTGTTACCGGGTCTAGATTTTTATTAGTTGATATGAAATACTCGAATTCAAAAATGGGGTTGTTTCCCGACTACCGTTACAAATAGCATGGATTAGTTTCGCGACGCGCAAATTGGCACGCGTTTGTTGGTCGCAGGTTTAAGTGGAGGCATCATTGTCATGGAGATAGCAGTGTGTTGGTCGGTTATAATAAACAATTAACCTTGTCTAACATATTCAATAAAATCCCAGGATGAATTGGATAGACAAAATGGTTTTCGCCGTAATATTATGTTTTTGTATTATAATGGATGATGCAATGGTCTACATGTTGATGCATTATCCATAAGTTGACGTATTTTCTACAGCCTGTATCCCAGTGTCAATCACCCATCACAAGTACATTATTTAGCAAACGCGGTTACTGCATAAATCTTGTTAAAACAATGAGGAATGTGCACGCGACAAAACTTTGGATGGGATTACTTGCTAAAGCTTCTGATATAGAAGTTCGGACATTCAATAATGCTTAGAAAGAGAAGACGATATAGACTCGGCCTATTATTGTTAGTTACGAATATTGATGACGATAATAAATACATCACAGCACAGAAACGTACCAAATTGCGTTCGGCAATACCAAAGCGCGAGCGCAAAAATAGTTATACACATATCGCTTCCATCTAATCTAATGTAAAATAAACTGGATAATGATCCTTCTGTTGCAACAGCTGACGTAATTGAAGCTCATAATGATCAGTAAGTTTGACGTGTTATACTTGGTACCAAAACTAGCCTTCATTTTTCATGCAATATGGAGAAATATATTAGCATGGCTTTACTAAATTGTTACTGTTACATAAACGGATTATTTGTATGAGTAAACCTTCCATCGAGCGTCTAATCGATTATAGTATTGGCATCGATTTCGGGATAATGTTCGAAAAAGCTCTAGAATTTAAAAGCATACAACATTAACTATTATTCGTCAAATATTGTAATCAAAATTGTCGACTTACCTCAAACAAGCGAATAGCATGAGCAACGTCATCAGTGCCAGCTGTCTCTCGAATAGAGTGCATGCTCAATTGCGGATTCCCGACATCTTGACATGGATATATAACATAATCAAAGCAATATTAACACACAACAACGATAACCTCGGACAAAGAAATTATATTCCACGTACCGATAGTACGCAAACCAAGGTTTGAACTGAGTACCGGGCCAATAGTTGATCCACACCGACCATCAGCCCTGACTACATACTCCTGAAGAGGAACATTACTTTTCTTGGCTGCTTGACGTAAAATTACTATTGTCGCTGCAGTCGTTGCATATCTCTACAAATCAAAAGAGAAGTATTAAGCGTTCAATTTTGTGATGTAGTTTGGGTAAAAACTGAATAGTCGAGAGCTACCTGATTAGCATTAATCTTGACTACAACACCTCCATGCATATGCGGTTTATGGTTTTCCTCGTGTTTCTCACTATAAGGGAGAAAACCACACTGAGTCATTATTAATAAATTATAGCATCTCACTCTAAACAAGAGAGACATACGAGTAGTTGGGATGAACCGCTGGTGGAAATAACATTTTGTTAACGTAACGCAAATACTCACGTTGAATCGATGTAAAAAACCCCCATCTCACGAATTATTGACTACATACCGTGAGACATATCAGCACTAATCAGGAAGCTTTTGTGAATTGTTTCCTCGAATACAGTCTATTGAAAAGATCAAACCGAATACAGTTGTTACCATCGTTACTTTTACCTTAACGGCCGTCTAAATAGCAAGTACCTTGGAAACATCCTTTCGCCCGCCCACGTTGGTGAGAACCAGTCTCCTGATTGTATACTCTAATAGGCTGGAAGCAGCTCCATGTGCACTAACACTTCCCACTTCTTCATTGTCAAATAATACAACAAGTCTGATATTTGGGTCTTTTTCAAGTGAAGTGGGGGAACAATGTGTTGTATTTATAAGTGCCTGCAAAAAAAAAAACACAATCGGGGACATTAGCAGGTCCATCTCTTGTTGTAACTAAAGCCACGACAACAAAGCAGAAACTTACTGTCAATGCAGTATAAGACATCATAAGATTGTCCAACCTGGCTGAGAATATAAATTCATTGTTGACACCTCCAATTGTTGGCGGTTGGGTATCATAGAGACAAAGTTCAAAGTCCATAATCTTGGATGCTGAGAAAAATCGAAACGTAAGTGAACAGGTTGTCGGCGAGAAAATTGTATTCAGTATTTGAATTACTCTTTTTTTTTTTTACCATCAACATTTAGTTCTTGAGCAATAGTATGAAGCAATTCTGGATGATGCTTTCCTGACTGAGTATCGGTATCTTCTCCGCCAAGTCTAAACGATTTATATGTAGTTTACAAAACGTATTACAGCAAGCAATAATTTAGTTATGGATGCCATACCTCTTTTTGGCAGTAGCAATTAATGGAGTCAAATGTGTTTCCTTGTTAAAACTGAATCCATTTGATACTTCAGGATCAAGATGAATTGCAAGAGTTGGGACTCTTAGAATCGGCCTTGGTAGAGATTTGTTCATCATATAAATAAACAGATAAACCAAAAAAACGGAACTAAATAATCACACCTTCGATGATTACCTTGAAATTCTAACGAGTTTATTCTGGTACGTTCCATCAATATCGAGCATGACTCTCCCAGCAATACTCAAGTCGCGATCGAACCATGTATGCCTACATAAGTTTATCTCACCATAAGAACCTTGATGTGCTCTCTCTACACAACATGGCAGCAAAGAACAAACATACCATAGACCACCTCCATATGTTTCTACGCCAACTTGTAAATAACCAGCACGTCCTTTCTTAGAGATTGGTTTGACCTGGATCACAAGACAAGTATATAAATAGATTGTTACCATAAGTATGTCTTAAACCTGCGTTAATTTTATATTTATCGAATCATCATAATCATCACCTTTAAACACGGAGAATCCGTATGAGCGCCAATAATGGATACGCCATTTCCTGGTTCGTATTTACCTCCAATCGCAAAAGCAACGATCGTACTCGTGTTTCTAGTAAAAAAGTACTTGCCATTTCTTTCGATTTGGCCAGACCAGTTATCCCTCTCTTTTAATTCTTTGAATCCTGCAGCTGTCAACCTTTTTCTAGATTCGTCGACGGCATGAAACGGCGATGGAGATGCATTGACAAAGTCAATGAAATCAATCACTTCTTTGACGGAAGGTGTCGTGGGATTTGAAACGCTCTCAGACTGTGACGAGAAATGCAAGTTACTATGTGCGATATAAACAGATGCTATGTTATGAGATGATATGACGTTTGTATATCTCGGGAACGAGAATATTATTCCATTTGAGATTAAATCCGTTTGCAAACAATTGATGGTTTGTTTCCAGATCAAAGCCCTGAACAGCCGATGTGCACTGTTTCTCATTGTATGCGTCATGTAATAAATTTGAAAAAGAGATCGGATGGCCTTACCATTTTCTTTTAAATTTATAAGATGTCGACTTTGGTTGCAGCGTATGCGAGTTTTAATATATGCAAGATAACCTGGAAAAGGGAATTTTAGATCTGTGTTACAGAACACATAGATTTGGACGGTGGTGTTCATTAACTCTTGCCAAATAAGGCATTAATTAGAGTAAACAATAACAACAATAACAACAAACCACATTTCGAAACTCTGTAAAGTTATGCGATGCCTAGACGTCAGAGTCAGGATTGATCACGTAACAGTATCCGAATGTAACTTAATATATAAAAATAAGTTTACGTAATCAATGGCACTGGCGATTCTCTTTTAATGCCTCTGAAACCCACATATACTCTTCTATTAACAAAAGTTACCCAAATCCCAACCCAAATCCCAAAAAAAGCCTAGAAAATTGCCCCAAAAAATTTTAATATTAATTAATCTGTCACATGAAATATATACGGTATTCACTTGCAGGGGGAGATAGCTTAGCAATTACCTCCCCTAATATATTGCCAAATTTGGCAATATACCCAAAGCGTTACACACGGGAAATCGTATTAGTGTTAACATTGAGAATGTTATTCAAACTATGTCGTTAGTTCCAGGGATGCATAATCCAGCAATTGACAACTTGGTTCAAGCCTCCTCACCAAATGAAGATGACAAAAGACTTGAATGGATTACTTACGAGGAAATCACCAACATAGAGCCAACTCGAATTGACAACGTCTACTACGCTACTCGCAAAAACAAAACTGGAAGCATGATAATGCTGCTATTCCTTGGAAGCAGCGAAGAATGTACACAAACACTTGTTAGTGAGTTTGCCAGAATATACTCACTTCCAACACACAAGCACAACAATTA